ACTCTTTTTTTTGTTGCCAGAGGACACATGTTTGCCAGAGAAAGCAGAGAAAGGAAGAAGGAGAAAGCGCCCCCCCCCATGAGCTGTGGTCACACCATAACCTCTTCTCTTTATTTTTTCTGTTCTGTCAGGATTTGGAGCAGGCACGCACAGGTGCCCAGTGCATTTTTCCAGCCACTGGGTTAGGACTCTGAGTGAGCAGTCAGCCATGTGGGATCCAGCTCCCTTAATCTCTAGGTCACGGGGCGGGCCCAAGGTATTTAACTCCTGTCATTAATAGTTGTAAAAGGGGGCCAGGTGCAGCAATTATTTAACTCCTGTTATGAATAGTTGTAAAAAGGGGGCCAGGTGCAGCAATTATGTACCTGGCCCTACAGGGGAAAGGTTTGAGTCCCAGAACCTCCCTGAGCACCCTGGACGTGCACTTGCCTGTTACCCAGACTGACTAAGGCTTGGGATGGATCATGGTGTGAAGACTATGGGGAGGGCTGGCTCTATGGCACGGTGTAATGCCCATGCAAGGGCAGCTGGATTCCACATGGAGAGGGAGGGCTGGCTCTGTGGCACAGTGTAACGCACTGTGCAAAGGCAGCTGGATTCCACATGGTGACTGCCTTTCTAATCCCCAGCCCAGTGAGCCTCAGACATGTGAGGTACCTGAGTGAGTGCCCAAGAACTGATGGGCTGGAGCACTGGCGGGAAGGGGATCAGTGTGACCAGAGGGCAGCTGGGTGTGAGGGAGGGAGGGCGCTGTGGCTCTGTGGCACAGTGTAACGCACTGTGCAAAGGCAGCTGGATTCCACATGGTGACTGCCTTTCGAATCCCCAGTCCAGTGAGCCTCAGACATGTGAGGTACCTGAGTGAGTGCCCAAGAACTGATGGGCTGGAGCACTGGCGGGAAGGGGATCAGTGTGACCAGACCTGTGAAGGGTACTTTCCTCTCTGACTCTCACAGCACACATATGAACTCTATCATGATTAAAGAAAAAAGTTAAAAAATAAAAAGACCCTCTTGGAGGTGCCCGTTTTGTCTCTTTTGGGAAAGAAATAAAATCAAATTCATAAAGAGCATTTCCTTCCTTTTGTTCTATTTTCTTTCTATGCATTTAGAGTGGGGACATTTTGATGACTGTTGACCTAGCAATGGTAAAGGAAATACTCTTGAAAGTGAAAATAGTTTAATAACATGTGAAACTCTGTCTTCTATAGCTCAAGGCTAAAAGGTAAAAACTGCATCTGGGGTTGAATGCTTTTACTTTTAGCATTCTGTAGTTTTACTACTATCCTGAAGAAGGAAATGAATACAACTGCTTGTTTATTTACCAAAGCAGGAGCTAGTTTGAACTCTTAGAGCAGAGAAAATCCAAAACAAGAAATGCTAGGCCAGTCCTGTGGCCTGGTAGTTAAGGGAACAGGTCCCACACGACCCATTGTGCAGTTTAAGTCCCAACCCTGGATACTAGAAAGATGGCTTGAAAAACGTGTCAGGTGTGTATGTGTGTGTACCCAGATCCCGACGGGATGGAGAGACCGAGAAGGGACTGCAGCATGACGGTGCCCCGCTGGGACATTTTCTCCTACTCTCTCTTGGCAAGCCCATGTACCTTCTACAATGAAAGAAAAAAGAAAGAAAAGAAAGTTAGTCTTTTTCTCTGGGGCCCTTTTAGAAACTAGACCAAGATGATAAATTATTCAAGGTTCCTACTGAGCAGTGGTGTTTTTCTATGTTTGGAACTGTCTGGAGAACAAACCCAGTAAGAGCTTCCTAAATCTGCGAGAGCATTGACTTTTGGTGTAGTTCTATTAGGAACCAGGAACATTGAACAGCAGTTCACAGTTAATGTTGCTTTCTTGTTCCTTTCTCTTTTTTTTCTTTTTTCTTTCTTTTTTTTTTTTTAGGGCTTGTGCACTCACTGGAGAAAGAGAGAGAGAGAGACCGAGAGAGGGAAAGGAGAAATCACAACTGCAGGGTGGATGGCTACACCACAATCTCCTCCATTCTCTTCCTGGAATTTTGGGTACTCATGCACACACAAACCCAGTGTGAATTTCAAGTTACTGGGTCTGGGATTCAAACCATGGTTGGCTATGTGGAACTCTAGTGTCTTAACCACTATACCACAGGCTGGTCCCAATGTTGCTTTCTTTTTTCTTTTCTTTTTTTTTTTTTTGCTATAGCATGTGCTCATTGGAGAGACAGAGACAGAGAAACAGAAAGCAAGAAATCACCAACCCTCTCCCCCCCAGAGGAATGGCCATGCCACAATCCCTTCTCCTCTGTTCCCCTCTCAGGATTTTGGACACATGCACACATCTCTGGCATGAGTTTTAAGCCACACTGGCTCTGGGATTCAGAACCAGGGTCAACCACATGGGAGTATAGCGATGTAACCATTACTCCATCTGCTGGTCCCCCAGTGTTGCTGTTATACACCCCCATTTCCATGCCTTAGACTAATAATTACAGCAAATGTGTTCTGAGGGGTTCTGTCTGACAGTTTATGCTGAAAGATTCTCTTGGGGGGGTTTCTTGTGTGGAATGGAAATCCTTCTATATATAAGTAAGTGGCAGATTTTATGCACTTAGAGAATTCTGGGCCAGCCATTGGCACAGAGTGGTGAAGGCGCTGGAGTCCACATGGCTGACCGTGGTTTGAGTCCCAGACCTGGTAGCTTGCTTCCCACTTTCTCTTTCTCTAGTGAGTGCATGTGACCTATAACAAGTTAAAACAATAATAATAAATAAAAAAATTTTTAAAGGAAGATTCAATGTATCTCCAAATGCCTTTAAGTTACTGCTCAAATCACAACTTTCTATCGGAGGAAAAAAAGAGCCTTCAAATAGCTTTAAGGTCTATTTCACTAGCAACTTAGAATGCAAAGTATTTCATTTTTAAACTTCTAAAATTTGAAAACAAGATAGCCTAAGTTAAATATTAATAATATAATTTTCAAAGCTGAATGTGCTCATTTGGAGTTCAGCATTTTTACTCAAACTACAAAAACAACTCCCTGAGACTCCTACATGAAAACATTACTATTTTGATGATCCATGATTAGATGCACTGATCAATCTCAGTAGCATCCCTTTTTGATCCTTGGTAAGGGTTTAGAAAATTCTAGAACAAATGCATTTTTCCCCTACTCTTATGCTGACAATTTTGTTCCGAATGCCTCCTGAGAGGATTATAGCTGTCATATGCAGGAATGACACTTCATTCTCACTTTCATACACGTCAGAAATCAGCGTGGAAATACATCTGCATCAAGCTCTGCCTGTGCACCAGCGGGAAGAATGCTCGTGATTACTCCTGAGCTGACAGCACCTTCTCATGATCTGGGTGAGTTCCCCTATGCTGACCTGATAAGATACAAGCAGCTTGGTTTTATCCAGGACAGGAAGTTGCTGCTTATCCTTCCGTTGTCCTGTATCACTGGAATTTTGAAAGGATGCTGCTCTTGGATAAGTGGGACATTAACGCTCAGTTCCAAGGTGCGGCGCTGAGTGAAGGCCTTGTCTGACCACTAGTGCACCAGGCTGCTCGGGGCGGTTGCTAAGAAACAACAGCAACATGGTAGAGTTGGCCTTTGGGACAGCGGCATCTCATGTCCAAAGTTCTAACTTTGGTTCCTACTAGATACGTGTCCATATATATGTATATACAATATGTGTGTGTGTGTGTATATATATACATTTTTAAAAGTAATCATTTTATTGAACTTTATTTATTTAACTTATTTAGTTTAATTTGACCAGAGAAGGACAGAAAGAGATAGAGAGAGAGAGGGAAAGTGAGAAAGCAAGCTGCCAGGTCCGGGACTTGAACTGTAGTCCATATGAGCGTCCAGCACTCTTAACCACCACACCACCTGCCAGCCCCTATTATTTTTTTTTTAAACAAATTGTGGGAAGAAATACAGAACTTTAAGATGAATTTTGAAATCAAATTCATTGTAGATTCAGCCAGAGGGAAAAAAATCTTAAGGCTCCAGGTACTATAAAACACTGCAGAGGGCCTAGTTTGGGGTTCTTTCTTCTAATAGGAATATGGAGAAACCAGGGGGGTTCTTAGGAAAAATAAGTAAAGATTAGAAGGTGGAAAATAGAATATGTAAGGAAAGGCCTGGTGGTTTCTTTTCCAAATGAAGAACAACTGGCCTCGAAGTCTTGTGTCTGCTCTTTTATTAACCCCTCCAGTAAATACCTGCTAAGTACCAGGCACTGTGGTGAGGTGTTGTCCTCTGCTTGCTACATACCAGGCACTGTGGTGAGGTGTTGTCCTGTGGGGGGAGGCAGGCATTGGCATATATGTTGTGATAATTGCTGTGGCTGGGTTGTGCTAAGGGAGTTAGATTGTAAGTGCTGTGGACTCTGGATAAGGGGCAGGTGGGCCTGGGAGGCCGGTGACCAGGGAAGCTTTCAGACCAGGTCAGGTTTGACCCAAGGTTTACAGATGGCATGAGTTTTCCTGGTGAAGAGAGAAGGGCATTTGAGAAGGCATGTGCAAAATAAATAAAAATGTACGAGGTGGAGGATTCTCAAGATTATGATGGAGAGGGCATGAGACAGGAGTGGATTGGACTGCCAAAGAAATGATAGTGGGCAGGGTAGCCAGTAGGGACTGGACAGCAAAGAAATGATAGTGGGCAGGGTAGCCAGTACCTTGCTTGCTATTCTTAAGAATTTGGAACTGTTGGTAGCAGTGGATGGCATAATGGTTATGTCACTGGACTTACCACGTAATTGACCACATGCAAGTCCCAGACCTACTAACTTAAAACTCACACCAGGTGCATGTGCATGTGTGCCCAAAATCCCAAGAGGAGAATGGTGGAGAAGAGATTGTGGCATGGCCATCCCTTAGGGGATGATATCTGTCGCTCTATCTCTTTGGCAAGTGCATGCACCCTGTAGCAAAAATCTCTCTCTAAAAATAAATAAATAATAAAATAAAAAATAAAGATTTTGGAACTGTCTTAAAGGCAGTAGGAAGCAGCTGAAGGTTATTCATCTGGGGAGGAATACTATCATATTTGCATTAAAAAAATAAAAGCCTTTGTGGAGGCTTTTCATGAGGAGAAAGTTGATGAACTCTTCCTACCTAGGAGGGGAAGAATAGGAGGGGAAAGCAGAGATGTAAGGATTGAGCCCTGGCAAGAGTTTGATAAGACAATGATCTTGACCTGAGGGTGGTTAGATGGATTGGGAAAGGAATTGATAGAATCTTCAGATCTGAAGGTGTTGTAGTCTTCTTTCACATTTTAAGTTGCATTTCTGATTGCAGCAAGAGGTTAGATGTGTTCAGATTTCATGAAGTGTGTTTCTTAGAAGAGTCGTTCCATCTATGGGTGAATGAACAGCTTCAGTGCTTTCCAAAAGTGTGTCTTGGACCTAACTGAATACGCACATCTACAGTGTTTACTGCAGGACGTTTACTAAGTGGGGCAAATGAACGTGCCCTGCGAATCTTTGAGTGGAACTTTGGATTCAGGGTTTCTAGACTTAATTTATCACAAGATCCCTTTAGTGTTCTGTTTTAAGGAGCACTGTTAGTAAAACACAACCAGATACATTCGATTCTGTTCCCAGTACTAAGATTCTTCGCTTAGGTTCTGAAATGGCAAAAAGTACTTAAGATTTAAAATTACTTTTCCATAGCGCTTATCCATTACAAGTGAGTAATCGTAACAGTTCGCAAGAAAAGCTGCCAATATTTAATAACGAGGCAATGACTACTTTTAGAGCCCTTAAGGATAGATAAGTCAGATAAAATATGGACAGATATAATGGCTGCCTTAACTCAAATTGTAGTAAAATCCTAAAAGCCTAATTAATAGGAAATGTGTGAAAACATAGGTTTAATCAGTTCAAGGAATTAAAAGAATATAGGGAGTAGATAGGCTGTCTCTTCTCGCTTCATCTGAAGATATTTCCTAAACAAGTCAAAACTCAGAAAGAGGGTTGGATGTCTAATGTGCAGTTCAGACAAAGGGAGATGGAATTTTGGAGTCATCTAAAGAATGTTGCCATTGGGCGATGCCCGGAATAAGATATGCAATGCTCAAAAAAACTCTCAAGAACTAGATTTTCTAGTGATTGAATGTAATCCTCGGATTGTGAGTAGATTTCAATTTAGATGTCAATTCCAATTAGTTGGTTGTGTTGCCTGGAGCGTTGGATTGCGAAGAGCTGACACCAAGTCTCGGCTCAGGGGAACAAGTGTGGTGACTGACGTGTGGCCTCTCTCTGTGTGAGGAAAGTGAGGGTGATACCCCCTCCCCTTCCTTGCAGTTGCCACCCTTTTTCTATTTTATGTGAAGGTACGTTAGGTCATAAAGGACGCAGATTGAAGAGTCTAATCTGAAGTTCCTTATGAAAGGTTCCAGCAAAGCCAACTAAATCAATTAGTATTCTTACGGGTCTTTGTGCAAACAACAGACCAAGTTGAGACTATACTTACCTTTTTTGCAAATGAGTTAGTTTCTACCTCTTTTTGGTAAAAGGGGGAATGGGAAGAGAAAAAATGTTTCTGAAGAAAATTACAGTGCACTCGTTACTAGATTTTAGCTCTGGCCATATCTGTTTTTTGAGTGTTTAGTATCTACCTACTGTTTGAACAGAATCCTAACCTTTTTTCTGGCTTTAAGTCTTAATCACATTTTTTCTTAACGTTTTCGATTTTGGTTTATTAATGCTAAAACTGCTTTTCTTGAAATTAAAAAAATACATTAAAAAATACCTACTTAATGAGATGCTACCTTATAGTATGTTCATTCTACTCATTGAATTTTTTGCCCGAAGTCAGACATGTGTTTAAAGATATGTTTATAGCAGCTGTACTTACTATCGAAAGTATTTAGATTAATTAAAGTCTATTGTGAATCAATAAAATGTGGAAAAAAAATAAAAGATGTTAATGAGCCGAATTGGGTCAGAAACAACAAGGTGAAAGAGAAGTCATTGCAAAATGATTCAGAAGATCCTATTGAATCATGCAGAATATATGTGACCCTATGGGTATGGAAGAAATTGGTGTAGAAGGGAGCCATGTTCTATTGATTTACTTAGGAATGAAACTTTGCAGAGAGGTGATACATCAGATCCCACACAAAGGAGTCCTTGGTGACAAAGTCTACAAATGTCTTTTGGCACATGAATGTACTTCAAATTCTGTACAAGGGGACTTCAAAAAGTTTGTGGAAAATAGAATTAAAAATAAGTTTATTGGGACAGCAGGTGGCATGGTGGTTGAGGCACTAGACTCCCACATAGCTGACTATGGTTTGAGCCCTGGACCTGGCAGCTTTCTTTCTGTTTCCCTTTGTCTCTCACTGTCTCTGTCTCTCTCTGGTGAGCACATGTGCCTGGTAGCAAATTAAAGAAATACCACTAATGATAAATAAAAATAAAATTAATAAAAAATACAAGTTTGGGACCAGCAGTTAGCGTAATGGCTATGTCGCTGGACTCCCACGTAGTCGACTTTGGTTTGAGTCCCGGACCCGGTGGCTTAAACTCATGCTGGGCGCGTGTGCGTGCATGCCCAAGATCCCGAGAGGAGAATGGAGGAGAAGGGATTGCAGCATGGCCATCCCCCCTGGGGGGTGATTTCTCACTTTCTCTCTGTCTCTCTCTGTCTGTCTGGCGAGTGCACACGCCCTATAGCAAAAACCTCTCCAAAAAAAAAAAATACAAGTTTATTTCAGTTCAAAAAATTTCGAAATCTATGCATAGTTTTTTCAGAATTCACATTTTCCATGAACCTTTTGAAGATTCTCTCCTGTAGTATCTATATGAGAATTTGTGCTGGAGGCAGGAGAGTTCATCTTTCCTGTGAGTACATCAAGTTCACCTTCATGTCTATACTTTGCCAAGCAGGATGTAAATCCTTAGGGAAATTCTCAGTATGACAAAGAAACAATGCAAGAATGAATGAATAAATAAATAAGGTAACGAAACATTCCTCAATGCTGAAGCCATATGGGACAGCCTTGGGTTCAAGTCTTAAGGTTTCCCTGAATTTGCTAGGCGTGTACTCAGGGCCATGATCCTGGATGAGTGGAGCTGGGAGTGGATCATGGCGTGAAGACCCTGTTCAGGGTGACTATCTCTCGTTCTCTCTCACAGTTCAAAAAGACAAGAAAAAGACTGAAGAATTTTCTTCACTTTAGTGAATGAGGTCTTTGTTACCCAGAGAGATCCCCCAAGTCTCTGCAATGGGTGACACTTTCCAAAGACAGGACGCTTGACTGGGAATGAGGGAGAAACAAGAGTGATGTGTGTCCTGTGGCTCACATAGCGTCTAGGTGAATTCAGCTACCATCTCTGAGCGGGGCTTGT